AGTTCCCCAGGAGAGGCCACGGAGTGGGTCCTGGAGGCAGCTCCGCTGTCTTCTTGTACATCTGAAAGGACGCAAAGACGACAGAGAAGAGCACACCAAGAAGGATCAGAACTGCTGCCCCAACCAACACCATCCTTCTGTGTGGTCTTCTGCTTGTCAGAAATCTGATCTACAGCTTAAGGGAGCAAGGATGGGGGGAGAAAACTTGCTCAAAGAAATCCAGTCTCCAGACTGTGTATAAACTTCCTAATCTTCCTTTTCTATGTGCTCTTTCTTATGATTAAGCAAGGGGAGTTACTCATTTGTTCTAGTCTATATTTCTTGGTTCTGGAGACTGAAATGTCAGCTCTTCATGAACATCTATGCAGTCTAATTCTGCTTGATCTGAAGAAATCCCCAAACCTGAGAGAGAGGGTTGGAAATCCCATCCTAAAGCAAATTTGTGGTTGCCTCCAACCTTCCTCTGTTATTGATTTATTTATTATGGATTAATTTTCAGTGCCAGAGTAAACTTGGTTAATTATGAACATTCATGTGCTTTGACCCTGTCTAAATGTGCATGATCTGCCATTTGAAATTTAGTATTGCAGCTAATGGGGCCATGCAGGACACTTTAGATTCAGTTTCAAAAAGTTGTTTCAGGAAATAATGGGAAAGTCAAAGGAGTGGGAGTGAAAGGAAAAGAATTGTTAATGAATATATTCACAGATACAGCTAGTCCTTGCTTAACAATGCTAACTGGGACTGGAAACTCCATCATTAAGCATTGCAGTCATAAGTCAAAAAACCATGTGACCGTACTGCTTAGTGATGGCAGTTCTGGTTCCAGTCCCAGTTGAGGACCAAGCAGATTATTAAGTGATGACCTCTCGTGACTGCGACTTGCCATTAACTGCCAGCTTCTCTGCTGACTTTGCTTATTGGAAGCCTGCTGCGAAGGTCTTAAATCGCAATCAAATGACTGCAGGACAGTCTGACAGTTGGAAGTGTGAGCCGGTTGCCAAGCACCTGAAACGTGATTAAATGACCAAGGGATGCTGGGACGGCTGTTACTTTGAGGACAGACCATAAGTACCACTCATTCAGCACCATCATAAGTTTGACAGTGGCTGAATGAGTGATAAGTAAACGAGGACCAATTGTAACATGGCTCTTGAGTTATCTGATTTTACAGCTTAAACTGGTAAGACTTTGTTGATGTTTCTAGATTTGCAGATTAACAGCTAATTTCAAAATATTATGTTTTTCCATACACTTCCTGATTCTTAAACATTTTTCTCTAAATCAGTTGAGCTATTCATTCCATATAAGCTTTCATTATTTAGATGCATAGATTATAAAGAATGTGAATGTTGTTACACTAATTATTCTGTTTGGAAACGGTTATGATAAATATGACTAGATGGTATTACATATTTATTTTGGGTGAGACTGCAGCAATTAAAATATGTACTTTACCAAAACTGATACTTTTACCCTTTAATTTGCTTCATAAAGAACAAAAAGCTCGGCAATATAAAACTGAACTTTTCTGTTTTGTTCAAAATGGCCTGGAATAAAATAAGTTTGATATCTTTATATTTTAATGAGGGAAGATTGTTTATTCCAAATCAGAAATTATATCTTCAAGCATTTCAGCAGAAATGCATGATATTTTTAATAATTTGATACCCAAATAAATAATATGCTTTGGAAAGTTTTGCCATTTTTAAAACAGATAAATACTTTTGAGAGAGAAATATCAGAAGAATGGAAATGAGTATGGAAAAATTTGTTCCTATTAGCTTTTCCCCCTCAACAGCTTTGCCAAACCACATTTAAAGTATCATTGTTAAAATATAGTTAAAATGTTATATATAATAAAAACATGTTTCTATATGGTATGATGTTATAAAATAATATAATAATGAAAGCAGTAATCAGTGCCTACCTTACTTTATGACAGATTATGGAAGCTATAGATATTATAAGCTGAATATAAAGTGAATATAAGTAATACAGGTAGTCCTCATCTTATGACTACAATAGGGTCTAGAAAATTCATCATTAAATGGTGTGGTCATTAAGTGAGGCATCACATGACCACACATGACCTTTTTTGCCATGGTCATTAAGCAAATCATCACGTGACCCTGAAATAATAATAATAATACTGTTGTTTTCTATGATGTTACAATGTACTAATTTGAATTCATAATTATATTAATTACAAATTATATTTAAAAAGCCATTATAATAAAAAAAATTGGAAAAAACTTTTAACCTGAGCAGACACCTGATGTTCTGGATGGAGATAATGCTCTTCTTTCTTAATCAATTAAGAAATCTTAATTAGTTTTTCTTTCCCAGATTAAGAACATTATCATTTTGTTTCAGTGGGGACAGTAGCCACTGTATCCCAAGGCCAACTACCTGTTGGGAAGCAAAAGCTTAAAAAAATGATGCACCATGCTACCCAAGAGACAAACATCGGGTGACCTATTGACTTTGGTGGAGAATATTGATTGCACTGGGGGTTCCCCCTTTTAAAAATGCCATTTTAGACAGCCGTCCAGCACTACAAATATTTGTAACTCCAATTTTTGGATAAACATTTTCTTACTTCAGTAACAATAGCTGGAAAGTTATGTGCTAGTATAGGGTGTATTTTATAATGGGGAAGCATTTTATAGAAAAAAAACAGTAGGCAAAGAGTAATGATTAATATGTCAAGACTTATTAATGCATGAAGATGGACAGCTTAAGATAAAGTCAAGAGAACAATCAACTGCAGAGGGATTTAGTTGTCAGTGGTTCTCATATGCACAATTAAGGAAAAGTTTTAATACAGACTAGACAACCCATGATCCATTGGGTCATCATTTCAGAGTTATTTCCTTATCTAAACAGAGAAACAGAATTCCTCCTGTTTCTCGAGTTTATTCCTACTGCTCAGAACAGGATCATATAACCTGGCCGTGAAGAAAGATCCTGGGGCTGGACAACGGGATCACAATCAGTGAGCCTGACATCCCCAAGTCAGGCTCCATTCCCAGATCCCACCGTATCTTCCCCTGCCCATCACACTTCCAATGTTCCTGCTCACCCTCTTTTCTTTCCCCAGATGCCTCTCTCTTGCATACTCCTCCCAGGCCAGGGCATTCATTTACCCCTACACATACCACACACAAACCTCCACTACAGCCACTCATGTAATCACACACAGCCACACCCAGTCTTCACAGCAAGGCCCCTCCCACTCCTTTATGGCCACACCTGCCCCTGGCATTTGGGAACTTATGGAGGGGGTATGAAGCTGCTATAGGACTAAGCCCCAACACACAGCATAAAACCAAGAGCCTCCCCTCCACCTGGTAAGGGAACAAAATGGAAAAGAAGTGGGCAGCAAGATGATAGTCCCTAAGTCTGGAAGAGGGGAGCCAATGGGTCACTGTCCAGCCCCATGTCCTCAGGACCACTCCACAGGCTCTGAGATGGGCAGCGTAGATCTTCCAATGCCAGAAATACCTCCCAGTGTAGTAAGGTTAGAACATTATAAAGGAGGAAATGTGTTATATTTCATAGCACAAAGATTCAAATGTCCTTCTCTTTGAAAAATTCTTTCAGGGGCTTATTCGTGACAAAAAAATTTGCTCACCAGTGAGTTCTGTAATCACAACAGTGATATTTTGGAATGCATGATATATCTGTATAATGTTCATGTAATTGGGTTGTTGATCAATTTCATTTTGCAGACAGAACCTCCTTGTGTGAATTTATATGCCATCAGGAAGAAAACCTTTGCACCTGAGATTTTATCAGTAGTGGACAAA